CTCGAGTGGAGGAAATAGTACAGTAGATGGGTATAACTTCGCCTGCTTTGACGAGGGAGAGGAAAGCTGGACTGGACTCGAGCAGTCGGTCAGTCGATTGCTGGGAGGAGGAGGAGGTGGGCCTGCTTCACCATCCCTGGCTACGCTTGGTCAAGGGTACACACATCGCAAGTCTGAGATTCTCTAGACTGAACGGATAGGTTTCGAATGCATAAACACTCGGTTACTTCGTTCGATCGTAGGAAAAGAAACGGTTCCGTTCCGATCGAGGAGAATTCGACTTCGTCATCCCGTTTCGCACAGCATAGCTTTTAGAAAGCATAATGCGAGGCGAGGCCATGCCATGTACGACTGCCTGCTTTGGAACGAAGGAGCTGCAGCTGCACCTGCCGGTACCATAAACACGACCTCAAGAGAAGACTGTTTGTTGTGTGGTACTTAAACAAGAACATCCATGTTTTAGTTATGATGTGCTCGCCCACAATTGGTACGCACATCTTTCCCCGAACTCCAGCAAGGCTCATCTGAGCTGAGCCTGCTGAGCCTGCCCAGCAGACGGACGAAGGAAGAAAAAGGATGACCGATCTGCGGCGGAGGCACTTTGTCATTCTCTAACGATCTTTCCTGTTGAAGGCACGGGGATGTCTTGTACCGTTCTCCTCTTCTTCAGTACAACTCCCACCTTTCCTTCCCGTTAGGCTACTCTGCGTGTGTAGACCTGCTGCTGATGCTGCTGCTTCTGCTAGTAGTGAGGAAAAAGCTGGTACTGAAAGGTTCATGCTTTAGATGTGATCTGCCTAACGCTGCTGAAGAGATCACTGTTCAAGATCCAAAGTAAGTCCGTATCAGAAACTGAGCTGTTGCTGTTGCTGTCGAACAACTGGACCTGATTTGGCACTACTCAATTCCTATAGAGGAAAACTTTTAACACCTGAAAATGAGACGAGGCGAGATGAGATGAGATGAGGTGTAGTGAACATGTTCCTTCAACATCCGAGTCACTTTCACCGCGTGAAGAGAGTCAAGAATCTAGTGCAGTTGACTTGAAGAAACCGGGAAAATCGGGACGGCCTAAAATTCTTCTGTGGTTTGGAAACGTTTTGACTATGCCACTAAACGACTCCGTCGAATCACGGTTACAAAGGATCCACTTTGATGCTTGAACATTCTGTCAAGTCAAATCGGCCACATATCAAAAAAATCTCCAGAATTAGAAGATTCGGAGCTTACTCACTCACTGTGGTTGCACGGTACAGTTGTCCAGTGACTTTGTGGTTTAGGTGAAAATGCCTCGGTTTAGATTCTCCAGACCCGCATCTACCATGTATCTACCATTAGCTAGCTACTTAATGCACGAGAGCGATGGAGGCTTAGGGTTAGGTCTTTTAATAAGGCCGTCGAGTCTTGCTTGGCATGAGCAGCGACGGCATGGAGTGAAACTGAAACTTCGCGTGCTGATAATAGCATCTGGATGCGTGCTCTAGTCAACCTCGGGTCAGGCAGCAATAAACTCATGAATGAAGTCATTCTCCGGATCTGTTTGCCGGCTGGCCAGGATTCACTGTGATGGTGGAGGAGGAGGAGGAGAATGCTCTCTCTAACTCACTCTGTTCGGAATCACTAAAGGATTCCAGGTCCGAAAAAGACCATCACCTCGTGTGGAAAGTATGTTCAATAGAATAATACAAACCGCTTGAAATTGAAATTGACACCTGACAGACTTGGCACCCAAAGCCTGCCCCGGCGCATCTGTCTCCATGTAGTCGGCTGGAAAGATGTCACTGTGGGTGGACATGTCTGGCCGTGGGTCTCTTTTGGGCGAGAGGATGAAAACATGCGAGCAAGGAGAACAATTGTGCAAAATTCGGGGTGATTCACACAATAGACGAGATGAGATAGTTGCAAGCTGTTCACAGCGGCCCGGACTTTTCTCTCAAAATCTGGCCAAGATAGAGCAAGCAAGAAAGCCAAGCATGTCCAATATCTCCGGCCAGTAGGTTGGGCTGGAGACACCCGTCGTTCGCTTATCTGACATGTAGCTAGAGGAGGAGGAGGAGGTAGTGTTTCCAGCAGCACATGGAATCGAATTCGGGTGACATCAGTGAGGATTTGGCGACTCAGTACGTACGTGAGCTGCAGATGTCGAGAGCGAAGGGCGAAGGGAAGATCCCTCACGACCTACCTACGTCGAATGCTAGAAAACATCTACCTCCTCGAGTACCGCTGACTGGTCACGGCTTGAGATGTGCTGGAAACATGTTGTAACTACTGCCGGACAGCTGAAGATGTCCGACAGACATTTGCGAAAAGGAACAACAGTGCGACTACGGGAGCTCCCTACAACCATGAGCTGGTGCAGTGGGACAACCCAAGCATGTTCCACTCCCTTTAACAGCACAGACATTTCAAATTCACCACAAAAGGTGAAGTGAAGATCAAGCTTGGGGATGGTGCCCTTACAACCCTATGCCACATCCTGTACCACCACTGTAGGCTTTGATAGATTGATAGATATATAGGTGAACATTGCTCAGCAAGCCCGCATTTGATAAGCTCTGTCTCCTCTGAGGCACGTTCTGAAGGGAGCTGTAGTGATCTCAAATTTGGAGTGACTGCTTTCCAAGTTTAGGAGGACAGACCTTGCAGCAACCTTGGAAGAATCACGGGGCACCGAGCAAAATAGTAGAAACTAAGGGATGACCCACGCCATCATCTTGCAGCTGGGGGGTGTAACAACAAAAACATTTCCTCCACTCCAGTAGGTTTCGAGGGTCTGCATTCGGTGGAACCCCTACGACGTCGTGCTCAACCTCCAAATCTAGAAGATCTATGAACCCACTACCTTCTCAGGATCCAAACGCTCCAGCCCAGCCAACGGGGTCCAAACAGCATCGTCGAACGTTCCAGAAGAAATTTTCGCATGGGTAGAACCGTCCAAACGCCTCGGAAGTTGTTTCTTGGGCTGGAGTATTTCAAGGAAGAGCGCTTCGCTCGGAGGACGATGAGTACAAAGATAGATAGATAGCATGGATCGAAGCCTAAAGTGCATAAAGTGGGGCATGCTCGCCTCCACTTTGCAAAGATTCGATCGAGCCTGGCAACTTTGGATGAAGCGAGCTGCCTATGGCTGGGAAGCCAAACTGATGTGGTACCAGTGGTGATGACTCGGTGAGATGCATGTCTGGTTGTGCGGGTAGTGCGAGGAGTGTCATAGTTCCAACCGAAGCCGAACAAAATCATTGACGGCCACCGAAGGAGGTCCGAGACGGGCCCACACGAGCAATAAGAAACGACCCGCGATCGAAGATCTTCTGATAACCTTGAATCTTCTCTGGCAAGTCCATGCGCACGCTGGACTCCCGTAGTCATCGCATGAGCATAATCACTCCACTTCGGCCTTTGAGGGCCTGCGGTAGTGGATGACATACTCGCACGGCTTGCGTATGACGGAGGCGTTTCTGTACATATATTGCTCGGCTCCACGGGAAACTGTTCCCCTCTCGTGGCTTCCCTCATCTCCACTGCAATACCACCGACGGCTGTGCAGTGAGTGAGAGAGTGAGTGAGTGCTCGCTCTAGGTCCACCCCAGCCAGAGTTATCGTGTGTGAATCCAAGACTGGAATTTTTATTCATCTGCTGCTCTTCTTGAATTCATGTGATTGTGCACAGGGGTCGGTTCAGCGTCCCCTGCCTTACCCTTCCTCAAACCTGGTGCCGTCCTGGCCTTTAGGGGTGGAAACTGGTATAAAGTCCACCCAAGGCTTTAACTCTTGGTGCTCGGTCTCTCAATTCGTACCTGATGGGTCACAATGAGGGAACATGCGGAATAAAGCGCATCCATGAAAGGTCGACGGAGCATATAACGCAGTACCGGGTTTTCAAAGAGGCATTGGGAGGTATCTACGAGAACGTTGATTGATGGCGGAATTGGGAGTGGAATTAGTGATGTCCTCGGGATAGGTTTGATTGGAAAGTAAGGTTCAATATCGGAGTCTTGAAGTGGGTGGCATGAATGGAGAGAGAGAGAGAGAGAGAGAGAGAGGGAGGTTAGAGTGAGAGCTCTTGGCGTGGCTGATGAATCCGAATGCAAGTAGGTGTGGGAGTCCTTAAAATCTGGGGGTGCAATAGTGACGGGATGACGGGGGACAATGATGTCTTTCGTCCAATGCCGCCGCCCGATTCGGTCAGCACATGAACAGAAAGCTGAAAGGCAAGCTTTGGAAAGCTGTTGCAAGAAGTTTGAAGGACGGAACGGACTCTTTTAAAAGAAAGCCCAATTATGTGTGAGAAAGGACGGAGTACCAAGGTGCCAGCTTTTGATCCTCTGCAGCGAGTACCGAAGGAAGAGGGGAAATCATGGCGCCTCCCCTCGCTACCCTAACCTTTCCCTTCTCTTCCCTTCCCTTCAATCTCCTTTCTCCATTGCCCTTGTACGGTGGCAGACTCCAGCAGACTCACTCACATCCTCTTTCAATTTTTTCTCGGACGAAGGTGAAGGTGAATTCATGGTCCCTTTAGGTCGATATTCTCTTGGTACGTAGACTCCTCGTGGCCAACTCGTTCAACCGTATTTCGAAGTAGACGTCGAAAGATTCCCCACGGATCCGGGGCTGGCGGGGTGCTCAATCCAGTGTGCACATAAGGTTTCTTAGGGGTGGGGTGGTGGCTCATTCCACGAACAACAACACTCGCGGTCATTCATCCCGATTGATAGGCTGGACTATTGTGTAATTCATACTTTCTCGATGCACCACACCACATCCCCCGCTTTACATGATGGTGATGGTGATGCTGCTTCTGCTCATGTCAGTCCACAGGTGAACATTAAAACAGTCTAGAGAATCTTTTTCTAAAATCGGATCACGATATTACTTGATGTTTGACAACATCGAGGGCGCCTTTGCAAGCGATGATGATGACAGCTGACTTGACAAAAGTTCTGCTACCTCTTGTTTGAATGTTCAGAGCTCTTGAAGATACACGGGCCAAGACATGGACGCAAACAAAGATTTGTCTATATTACATAGTTCCTCTCCTTTCAACCCTTTGAACGATAGAACGACACTCTCTATTCTCTACGTGAGCCAGCTCCATGGGCTTGAAGCCCTGACAGTAGTGTGGCCCGGGGGTCCATACTTTGAGTTAGAAGTAGAGTAAATCGAATTTTGGAGACGGATTAGTATGATGATGTGATTTAGGGCTGAATATGAATGATTTCGGTGGAGGATACGGAGAGTGCAATGATTCCTGGTACATAAAGAAAGTACGAAAGCGCTACTTAAAAACCTGATACGTTTCCGGGGAGAGGAGAGAGCATTGTGCACTATTACATCTACCATGTACGTGAATCACGAGAAGGAGCTGCCCAGTTATTCATTTACGGTATGCGCAACGGAATGGCTTATGTTTGCGAGATTTATCTATATTAGCCATCATCGGCACACGAGCCACTTCGCAATAATATGTTTCAGAGGCAGACTTATTCTCTCACTTCCTCTATGCACTCTCTAGATTCTAAAGCAAGATGGTCGATGGCCAGCCAGAACACAGCTTGCATCCAGAAGCCAAACTCGGGCGAGTTCTGCAACTCTTTTATGGATTGTAAATCGACAGGTGTCAAAGCAACAAGTAAAGATCCTCATTTACTACGTCAGAAGGGGCGCTTGGGCTCGGCTTCAAGCTCGTCTCAGTCATTCAAGTCCAGACGTATTATTTGCCTGACTTATTTGATGTGACCTGGTTGATTCCTTTTTCAGCCCGTTCTGATCAGACGCTTCTCTGCTGAAAACAAGAGCAGGAAAGGACCGGGGCTCAAGGCACCCTAGGCCGAAAATATGTCTTACAGTCCATTGATGGAGCCTTGTGCATCCTGATGTCACTTGAGAGGTAAGAGACTTCATGATTCATTCACTTAACATCCCTAAATTTGTTGATACAAGTCGAAATGTGCACCACTTTCGAACTAGTTTGTAAGGTGCATATATTTCTTTATGATCCCCATCATTTCACTACCCTGGAACCGCCCGAGGCAACCTCTGGCTGCAGCAATTTCATCAAAATGAACCACTGAATCACCAGCAACTGGAGAATCACAGGAGTCGCGAGTGGCCCTAGCACTGGCGCTCTCGGCGAGTGCAGCCAGAGCTGAAGAACCGACTATGGGCAGATTGAAAGGAGACAAAGAGGTGGCGAGGACTGCAGATTCACCGCCTTTGGCTGCCACGAAGTCCTTCAAGTGACATATGGTGAACGGAACAGGCTCAAAACTGTGATCTCCATATTCAACAGGGGTTGAATGATCACCTGTAATACATAGACTATATTCGAACTGGCCGTTCTTCGCTTCTTCTTCCCAAAGCAGGCGCGCAAGCTGGCCAAGCATTACATCCACAGCTTCAAATGCCCTAACCTTCAATTCTACAGCCTTATCGTGTCCAGCATCGTCAATTGCCTGTGAAAGTTCAGCGAAAAAACAACGTCAAGTCACAGCCACAAGCAGAGAAGGAAATCGTTATAGTGAGGAGATAAAGGATCAGCTAGATTCTGGAATTTGCTCCTGTCTTTCAAACAGCCAATGTTGTCCACAACTCACATTCCACACTGCCGACCACCCTCCTAAGCTGACTCCATATCCTCGGTAGAGCAAGGCACATCAAGAAGCAGAGGAGGAGAAAGAATTCTATTTGACCGTTTTGTCGGCGAGAAATCAAACCATGACTCAACTGGAATCCCACGCTAAGTTACCTTGATATGCAAAAACCCAAAATCATAACCTTGACTGTGTCCAGGTTTGAAGCCTTCGTCTCCTGGAATGAAAATACTCGGTGGAGACTTGGAGGGAGCAGACAGAGCGCTTGCAATGGCAGTGGCCTTGGAGGTCAGCAGGGTTCGGTAGTCCCCTGTTGCTCCCGGAGCATCTAAAATATCGATCCCCAACGACAAACCCAGACCTGCAATGATCTTCGTGGGAGCAACCATGCATGGTACAAGCCCGTGCTGCTCCTGAAACGTTGGCACCTGCACATTTACTCGAGAAAGTACTTCCATGAAGCAGTTCGTGACCTCGCAGTACATCACAGCGACATTCCCAGACAAAGTGGGCATGAACCCACATTCTGAAGAGATGATCATGGCCCAGTAGAGCTGTAAATTCCTCATAAAACACTCAAGCAGGTGGAAATCACCATCATCAGACATAGTAGAGCTAAGGTCCAGAGACTTTAACCATCAGGACATTTAACATTCAATTACTCAGCCACAATTCGGTTGCTTTGAAACGGGCATACTCGATATGAAGTGAGGAATCAAGCTTGCTCATTCATTTCTCCTTCGTACGCACCTCAATGCGAATACCACAACCACGGAGGAGAACCAGATTTGCGATGCTCTTCCCCTGCACCTTGCGTTCAGCATTCAGGGGATGAGCCGTAAGAATTTTTCTCATCTCATTGGAAAGTTCATTGACCACGGCTGCAGTGTGCTTAGCTTCCTCGGAGTCGTCGAGCCCCACCACAGTCTGTAGAAGCCTATTATCCTTCAGAGGATCCGTGCCAGATATATTGCCACTTAAACCTGGGCCTTTGACAACTACTCCACACCTATGCTCTGTGGCATACCTGGACAATCATCAGAACCAGAACATTAACTAACACATTGAAGTAAAGGGTCGAATAACGGATCAGTTCGAGGATGCATGCATAGAAGCGCAGAAGCCATCATCCATTACAGAGAGCAACGCAAAAACACCATCGCCCCTGTGCTCAAGGAACGGCGTGATAGTTTCAGAAACAGAGAATAATCTTTGCACCTTACACAAACCTGATACTTGGGGTAGGATGGCAGCTTGAGTCCATTCAAAGCTGCACACAGGATGGGTCCCTCCTCTTCGAAGTGCCGGTCTGCCCTCCTACTAGTGACTATTCCTGACGCATCATCTATGGTTGCGAAGTTACTCTGCGCAAAGAAAGTGATCACAAGTTCCACTGATTTAAGGATCGGTAAACACACCCAAAATCGCAGAGCGAATGGAGTTCACTCGCAGGATTGCAAGCCTTGTGTGAAGAGCAAGACACAAAATTCCCTGAAAAGTCGTAAAGACGTACATTCTCAAGGTCGTGTGAAATCAGAGTAGATGAAAACTGACGATAGATGTCAAAACAAGCTTCACTGCAAAACGCTGACATTCAGTGCAACGGAGACGGGCAACCCGTCGACATTCAGAATAGCTGAAATCTCTTGTGACTGAGATGACAAATGCCTAACTAGAGAAAAATCTGTTAGGAAGTTCACGTGATTCTCATATCTTGAGAAAATCGGAGTGGAGGCTGATTGGAAAAAGTTGACACTGAGCTGTGAATTGCGTACTCCAGATTTGATTCACTAGTGAAATTTCAGTACCTTGAAGGCAATATCGCCAGGGGACATGGCGAGGCCTGCACCGAGTGACTCAAAAGCGCCACGCCCTTTGTAGTAGATGAGAGGGTTGTAACCCATGAGCGATAGATGGGCTGTGTCACTTCCACAAGCCAGACCAGGCTCGACGGGATCCATCAGACCATTCACCCCTGCTCGTGCCACAGCGTCCAAATTGGGTGTACTGGCAGCCTGCACGGGAGTTCGAAACCCCAGAGAAGGTATGCTCACATCTCCCAATCCATCTACGAGAATGAAAGCCACCCTCTTCTTCTTCAAGCCTGTCAAATTATCTGCATTCGTCATTTACGCACGTCTAGATTCTGCAGAACTGATTGAATAATCCCTCGCACGGATCAATGAAGATCACGAAGATTGAAGATCCTTCCAGCCCGATCGCAGAATTCCCTCCCAAAATCGCAAGCCTTTTTGCTTCTCGAGTCACAACCTTCTACACCTCGACGAATCGATCGATCGATCAGTTCATGCGCGGCGGTAAACTTCGCTGTGCTCTGTCTCCCTCTGTCTGGCTCCGATTTGTCTGTCACTCCGCCTTTCTGTCTATCCACTCTGTGTCCCCTGCGCGTTGACACAGTCTGTGCGGCTGAACTCCTCAGCTCCTCGCGATCTATTTAATTTCGGCTCCACTTCTGACTTTTCCGCATCCCATCACAATCACCTACACTGTCAGGATGTTGAGCTCCGATGTGACGTGACGACTGTGGTGCACACTCGTCGACTCTCAGGCCGTCACAACACGGTCCTCCAAAGCTACCTTCCTATGCTTGATGTCTTCCATCCAGGCCATGAAGTCGGTATGCACCTACGCCCTCTAGAATGGACAGTACGTGCCCTGTTCCTACGTCGATGATGGCGATTTACCTCTCCCATGCAATGCGTGCTCGCGCTTGATGTCATTTTATTGATACCAAGGTACGCTCGTCGATCTTCACCAGTACCCGGTCCGAAAGTCGGACAATGTCTAGGATACATTCTTAAGATTTGCTTCCTTTCGCAGCGATGCTCCCGGCAATTTTAATTGCCAGCGTTGAAACACATTTGAGTCAACCACTCGGCACTAACGGTACACAAGGCTTCACCGTTCGCTTCTGCAAATTGGGCAGTTATTCGCCTTCTACTTCTGTGTTATGAACACACTTCCGTTTATCCTAAATAGTATTTTGATAGATTTGTCTACCTCTTTTTCAGTTGGGGGACCCAAGTGAGTCATATACGCCGTTTGGAACGATGATTCGATCCAAACTAAATTTCGCCGGGAAGATTTTCATGCAACGTCTGCTAGATATTGTCGATATGTATTTTTGTGTTCCCAAAAGTCTGTTTACAGTAAAGTTGACAGACCAGGAAATATTCAGACAACACAGCTGCACCCAAATGTTCATAGAATGATGACCATCAAGTCATCTCAAAACGTTGTACACTTCCGGTGAATCCTAGAAGTGCTTCCATTGAAAACGGGAGGAAGTTCACCGCATACAAGAATCCTACCACTAACCTCTTCTCATGTACAAAATTGATTCAATCCCTCGGTATTTTAAGACTACGGATAATACCTACATTGCAATCAAGCTATTGATCACAAGAGATCATGGTTGAAGCCTCTGCAACTTGAGAAGAAGGCCAAAGTGATCACTTGGGTATACTGGCAGAGTTTGCATCTGAACTTCTCTCTTCACCTTCCGCTCCTTTTGGTAGGTTAAACCTGGAATTGGTTGTGTTCCAACCATCTCAAGACTGTCCACTTTGAAGTTTTGTAGATGACAAAAAAAACGATCGATTCGTTTCTGCAGGCGACTCCCAGTGAGCATCAAGTTCGCTTTGCTGTCATATGTCAACCCTGGCTGCTCACCCACAAATCAAACCCCCAAATCAGGTTGGCGGTATTCCGATCTCATTTCTGTACGACTTCTCTGCTTACACAAGCCTCTGCTTCAAAGGGTTTCGAAATAAGATCTTTATATGTTCTAGAAATATCACAGATGAATTTTCTTTCGAGCACAACAATTTGAAGCTGGAGGTCGATGGAGCTTCCCAATCCAAGAATCAGTGTACCATAATATAAATGAACGGACAAAATTGTTAGTCTATGAAGATACTGTAAATTAGTTGGAATCAAGTCCAAACTACTAATGTGATAAATGAAACATTGCAAACTTGAAGCACCGCGGGCATCGTACTGGGAGGACACATATTTGAGGTCACCCCCAGTTCTGTTTCCAGGTTAGTGTAAATTGACTTAAATTGAAATGCTAAGATCCAAACCTATTTTGAGGCACGCATATTTAAAGTTGGAACATATGTTCAGATAACAGGAACTAGACTAATTTAATAGTATATGAGAAGCAAGTAAGCGGTTTCCTAATTATTATCAACGCTTGCCTCATAAGCATACATGGGTGTCTCTAGCACCATTTAGAACCATTTAACAGCGCTACTGAGAAACAAGAAATAAGATTATGAATTCGTGATGATATCAAGGATAGTGTTAATATCAAACTTGGTTTTACATTCTTTAATGGTCCAACAACTCGGTGAGGCATGCTCAAATGCATTGCACGAGTAAGGACATGTCTAGAGTCAGTAGAGAACCAGACAATTGCTTTGGATCCGTTCAGATGACATACCAGAAACCACAATGAGGTACATGAAAGAAATGTGAATATGAATATGTATATTTAAATATGAATGACGTTGAAAAACTATATATTATAAGCGGATGATCTGCAAACCAAAATGCAGCAAATCTTGGAAGCATGTGTTTCGCCAAAAAATAATCTGCTAACCAAGATGCAGATGGGACTCGCATCACTGATAAACTCGGCATCAATTTATATTGCCATTCTACTTCACAGAAATTAAGAAAAATTACAAACTCTGTGAGTTTTAAATCAGACAAATAAACCATCAGAATTATGATATGATGGTAAGTCTTCTGTACCTGAGTAGGGTGAAGCTTCAACCATGGATCAAACCATCCTTTAGGAAGTGGAGGTGCACCATCCGTTTTGTCATCCCAGTTCATGTCACCACCAAAAACCACATTTGGCATATCTTTCATAAAATTTAAAGCCTCATTGGCTTGGGCCACTCGTTCTTTACTGAACATCTGATTCCATGTCGGTGGTGCAGGACAAGGGCTTTCTAAGTGTGAAGTGGCAACCACAAGTTGTTCTCCATGACCATCATCCATGTCGGCCATGCACAGCTCTCGTCCCATTACTGAATTATTGAAGGGATTCCGATGAAAATTCAGAACAGGTAATCTGATCATCTGGTATGAGAAACTCACAACGCATCAGCCGAACCGTACACATTTCAAGATCATAGACTCTGCACTAAACTGAAAGACATCAGTAAAAACAGATTGCACAGAACTGATGATATGGAATATTGAGGGCAGCGGGAGGAATATTATTTTGAGCTGTTTATTTAGTAGAAAGAAGATTTAGTAGATTACGTCTGAAGCTGTTGTTATTTCCAAAACAGTTGTAAAAGAACTGAACAATCAGTAAAGATGGGATTTGTTAAAGAGCAGACATTGGATGCTATTAGTTAAGTCCCGAAACTTCATCAAAGAACTCAATATTTCACGACAAACTCACCTGCATACAAAAATACGCTCGCTTGGATGATTGAGCAGGTGGAACAGAACACTGATAGAGTTTCCACCAACTTGACCTCTGAAATATGCTATATATATTGGTAGTCACCTCCTGCATGGACACAGATGTAGTGTGTGCAACTTAGAAGTCTTACACCAACATGTATCTTTATCTAGTTCCAACATCTAAGTTGCACATAAGCAAGGTAACGTTTGAAGCACGATTTCAGGGGAGCTGAGTACCTGAAAGCAGATCACGTGAGGCTGATGTTGCAGAATGATATTTCCAATGGCATTCATTCTTCCGTGCAACTCAAGGTCCTCCCGAAACCACACATTATAACTCAAAATAACAATAGTATCCGTGTTGTTTGTTGAACTGGGGGGTGCACTTTTCTCTGACCCCCTCCGCATTTGGGAATCCGAGGCCATTCCAGAAGCTTCAGCAGAAGTTTGCTGACTGCTTTTCATAAGGTCTGGAGACCATCATTTGACAGCCAAAAGATTGATCCGTCACTGAAATAGAATGACTACAAGTAAGTTGTGAAACATACATGAGAACTTACGAAGCCATATTCAAATGCACACATACGCAGCCGGTTTTGAGCATACTCTACAGCTTCTCACAGCGCAAAAAACATAATCTAACATGTCCAATGACAGCTACTTCAAACATCTACGTTCTTTCTCCAAAAAACAACACCAATAAGTTCAACTCAAAAGTCCCAGAAAAGCATCTGATGGAACCTTACTGTTGAGTCTAGCCATCCTCTCCATATGTAGTTCTCCAAGCAAGTTATTAGACAATTCCCCATCTCCTGTAGCATTTCTGTCCCTGGATGTTGTACATCCCTCCATATCACTGACCTTGGAACCATCTTCGTCGTCTACTGCCTTACGTTTTCGAGAGAGCATATCGGATGGCTTCAGGAAAGAATGCAGATCAGTAATAATCGGAGTCGCTGCATTAGAATCTGTGGCCTCAGAAAGTTGTTCCTTGTCAGCCTTGCCTCTTTGATTGCTTCGTAGAGGCCTGAATTTACTCGTAGGCCTTGGACCATTTTCTCCTATATCCTTCCTTTCCAATTCGTCTAGCTCCGGTCTTGCGGTATTACACATATCACAAGCAGATTCAACGAACAGATTCAAATATGTGCAAGAAGGACAAGACCATTCCGGACCAGCATCCTCAACCGGCTGAGGATTGTCGTAGGAGCAGATATTACACACAGCAATCTTTCCTTGATTCAGAAACGTACATCTTGGGCAGGCCCAAGTCATTATGCCCGCAATGCTGCTGAATCGAGGCTCAAAGTAAGACCTCACAAATCCGTTGTCTATCTGACTCGCAACACAACCACGAAGCCTCACAAGAGGAGCCAAGACGTATGCTTTCAAGCACTTTCCTCTCAGCAAAGTGGGCTTGACCTTACATCTGAATTCCCGCCCCTGGCGATTATAATAATCTACTGTGAGCTTCACATCACAACGTGGGACTGAATCAAGTCGCCTGAAGCTGCAGCGTTTTACAATGAACATACACGCGTTCTAAACCTCGGTTCAACAACCCTTCCTCTTTCTCTTCCTCCTACTGCTAATCCTAATCAAGATCACTGCTTCAAGTCTGTTTCTCCACAGAATTCGGTTTTTGTAAATCCAAACCGCTTCCCTGCTGATCCCGATATGTTCTGAGAGCGAGAAAGCCACTGCGTGACAGCAGAACCAATCTTCCTCTCACCGTAACAAGCTGGAATAAAAAGGGGCAAATATTACTATCGGAAATGAAAAGAAAAGAAAAGAAAAACCAAAACCCTTTACCTAATCTCAATGCCTAAAATCTCATCGTAAACCTTGAACACTCCCGGGAATTTACAGATCGCATGCCTGGAAGGCTCGGGAAAGAGAGCCGAGGAGAATCCCATCCAACAGGCGGTCACAACTGCAGCATTTGCAGAGCAGCTCCTGTGTAGCCGTCCTCTCGACCGGAATGGTGCCAAGATCATCTCACTCGGACGATCCTCCTCCTCCTCACGCATTCATCTTCATCCTCACCCCTTCCCATCCCCTTCCCTTCCTCAGCATTCATTATTTCGTGCTTCCTTTCTTCATAAATTTCACTTCCACTCTGAGGGACAGTGTTCTCTGCGGCTGCTGCAACTCATAGCTCCCGGCGACAGGTGCCGGCGGCAGGCTTCTGACGATCTGGTGCAGCCGTCTGTGGCTTGTGTCGTGTGTCGAAGTGGGCCTTCCCACTGTCGGCAGGGTCCGGCGGGAGAGACCATTCGACGGGCACGACCAGTCGACGACTGGCTGCAACTGACCGACTTGCACCGCGAATTTAAAAAGCACTTCGACCCACGGCAATTAGAACTGCGGGAGAAGGTCAAAAACCAGCCGTTGGATTCTTTCATCTGACGGCACCCCTAGGAAGGATCTAGCAACGAATTGTGCTCATCCTCCGTGACGCATTATGGTAATCATAATTCTGCGCGTTTTTTCACCCGTACTGTGATCATACCCTTCCCGTTTACGTTTATAATCAGTGGCGTCGTAATAGGAATTATTAGCTGGCCGGTAAATGCCGGGTATTTCTTAACAACCGAACAAGACGATCCTTATCTCTCTTCCTGTGTTTAATGGGAGGCTTATGGACTTAATCAATCCGAATAAGTAGATAAATAAGAAACTCGGCAACGTCATGAATCCTGAAGGACTGACCTCCACGTCCGTTAAGGTAAGGCCCGACTACGGAGGTCTGTCTCAACCAAACAGATGCAGACATATTTACTGGAGTGGAAGAGTTCGACCCCGTAAGAGGGAGGACGGGTCAGCAATCCCCAACCGAGTCTATTGCACCGGCTCCTCCATTTCTGAGACACCGGTTTAGAGGTTCGGTGGTATGTCCCGGCCCATTTCGAGAAGAGGCGCTCGCTGGACAGAGAAGGGAACGAGGGTTTCCAACTGCAAAAGCAACACGTGGACGATGACGCTTCCGCGCCAGGTTGTGCATTTGCGCATGCTTCCTTCGCTCGGGGGCATGGTGCCCCCACTTGCCTACTAGACAACAGGACAGGAGAGCGTACGGGTCCACGAAAGCCACTTTCGTGCCTCGTAGCCACTTGTGGACTTGTATCTGCGAATGTTAAAACCGAACGAGCGCCAGCCCGCTCCTTTCTTTAAATATAAAGAACCTTACCGGACTACGCGACATTGGCGTGTCATCAGCCAAGGACTATATCGATCCTCAAACGTCGACCGAGTTGGGTTCATTCCACTGCCTTCTGGAGAAATCTCGCCGACAATCTGGGGCAACAATGTTTCCGGTCATATGGTGGACGTATTTGATCAAAGTGAATCATCTGACATCAACCTGTTATGTGTTATGCACGGGTTCGTTACGAGCATAGGAAGAACTTTATAACTTACACATGTATTCATATTCAATATGTCATACTTATTCTATCACGCGGGTAGATGAAGGGTTGATACGGGATGGTATTTTTTAAATTGCTTCATGGAAGCTTTTTATTCCTTTTTAATGTGCCATCATCCATCCAAAATTAACTCTTATAAATGCTAGCCTTAGCTCGCTACCTTTTCTAGCGGCATACTTGCAAGACGTAACACCTATGAAGCTTTCTTTCTCGACATGCTAACCCCGGCAGATTTTAACCTCGGAAATTTTCCGAAGTTTCTGCGTACAGCTGTGCGACGAGGAGAGCGTCACGTATGTCAACAATCATTTGCGTCGTCTCGAGATCGTGACAATGGCCTCATTTTCCCGTGGGCTGGAAAAGAGACCATAAAATAAAAATACATCGCGCAAACTGCGCAGAAAACAAAAGGAAGGAAGGAAAGTCCGAATGCTCGGAGGTCAAGGAATCGCGAATGCAAATCCCGAATCCGTCATTCTCCACGGAGCCCGAAGGACCTGTCTTATCATTATCTTGTTCTGGTCACGCATCATTCATGGCAGGTATTCCGCGGGGGGAGGCCGCCTGCCATGCATGGATGGACATGGGAATGGCAGGAGTGCGTGACGGATGGATGCACGCGGAGCATCGCAACTCTGTTCAGGTGGCAGCCGAATGCGCTCCACGCTGCCTCCCATCTTTGCTTTTTTTGGAAAGCATAACCGAAAGCTCTGTCAGGATTAGCCGGTTATGGTAAAACGGGTAACGGAACCGTGAGCACTTTTAGACTCGCAGTCAACCGAATCCGAGACTCTGTAGTGAGTGCATGCTGCCGCTGGGGCCGAAGGATTCCTCGCTCTCTAATTGCGGTGGCGAATTCAAAACAGAGCGCACGAAGGAAGGCTCTGTGTGTCTCTCTGGGGGGCAGACTGAGGCCTCCAGAGAAAGAGACCGAGAGGCCAAACCAGCCAGCGATCGTCGCACGCGCTGCCACTCTTCGGTCGTCGTCGATTGTCTGCCAATTCCAACTTCTGTTCTCGTCCGAGTGCCTCGTGAATGCGGGGCCGGTTGGAATGAATTGTCGAAAATGTTGTCCTTGGTGCTTCGGAGGTAGTGTGCCGGGGAGAGACGAGGCAAGTGGTGGTTGAGGCGAATTTCTCCAGGAGGGACGTGTGGGCCTCCGACGACCGGCTTTCGTGCAATCTCCGTCAACTTTCTTGTGGTGTAGGAGTGGGTGGAGAGTGGATTGCCAATAGGCTGAAGGGGGAATTTTTTACGTTGGCGAGATGCGGGTGAAAGCGAAGGAGAGCTTAGCAGCGGCGAGAGAAGCCAGAGAAGCGCAGATTAGAGCAGCAGCTAGGAGGGCGGAGAATGGCGGTAACGAGAATGGCAGGAAGAGGAGGAGGAGGGGGAACTCCATAGAGTCCACAATGTATGATTCTTCAGACAGTTACGAGAACCATGTCATTGATCTTCGAGGTTCCGCACGTTCTCCACCCTGTCCAGAATGTCGTTGCTTGTTTGAGTGTTTGTCGGTCTGTGCCAACATACTAGTTCCAGCAGACAGTTGGAGTGAATTATGTACTTTTTTTTCTTTTCGTGAAAAACTTGCAGTGGTTTGGAGAATGTTTCCTCCTTAGAAATATTGTGAAGACTGAATCGAAGTGATTCAAGTGCCAGCACTTGAGTCTGGCTGAGAAAATCAACTGTAACCCCTATGACGCGAAAAGGGTGAAAGAGCTGTGATATGAATCACATGGCTAACTGAATTGGTGGGAGAGGTGTAGAAATGAAAAGTGCTACTCTTCTCTGCGAGAAGAGTTGCACTTTTCCACAAGAAGAAAACTCCATAGTAGTCTCAGTATTGGCAAGCCCGAATGAAATAGGACATAATCCGCGAGAATGACACTGCATTTGGAGAGGATTACATTTCCCAGTTATGATGAATGTCATACGAATAACACGTGTGCAAATGTAGGATCTCCGAATCGCGCGAACGGAATAGACGATGGTGAAAGCCCTCTTAGAGATGCTCAGAGCGAAGGTGAAGGCTCTTTGGAAAATGGCAATGCCCGAGTGGATTGTGATCTAGGGCATTATCTGTCAAATGGTAACGGAAGAAGTGGTAAGCACCGCCATGTAATAAGAAATGAGAGTCCAGAAGAAGAGGAGTACGATGAGCCTTTGAAACCAAGGGAACATGACTTTGTTCCAGGCCAACTAGTATGGGCCAAGTTTGCCCGTTTTCCATGGTGGCCAGCTCAGGTATTACAAACTACGAACTTCCTCTATCCTTGTCTTTGTAATTTGGCTGTAGCAGGACGATGCTTGCTCGTGTCTTCGTTGTTGATTTAACTGCAAAGCATAAGCTGCTGATGCTCTTGGCTGAAGGGATGAGCACCGGAAACCATTCATATGCTCCTAAGGGAAATGGTGGCCAGTGAATGCAATGTCTTGTATTAACCAGAAAGTAGAAGTGTTGGCATGGCCCGAGAGTGCTCGGCACCCAGCACATAATCCTCCTAGAGAAGATAGCTTCGGATTCCTTCTTTCTTCCGCAATCACAATCTTCCATATGCTCTGACGTGATAACCTACTACCAAATTGATAGTTATGCTTCATTTAATTGTTACATATACAGGTGATGGATGCTAGAGATGCTGTGGAAGGTACAGGAGGAAAACCAGGTGCAGACACTGATCTACTCGTGCGCTTCTTCGGCACTTATGACTAGTGTGTTCTCTGCCACCTTCTCTTGTGTCGAGAATGTAGTCGTAAACGTTTCTCCTATGAATTTGGTAGTATCATATTTATTACAAGTACATCACCTTCAGACTACAACATAAACCTAAAGATTAATTGATTACCTTGTATGCATTCCTGGAGATATACTTGCAATATATGGATATCTGTCTAAAAATTGGAGAAGATTATTTTTGAAACAAATTCTCTCGAATTTTGTCTATCACCATAAGTTCAGACCTTTGCTTTCGACAACAGGAGACTACAGTCGCGAGTAAACCCAGTTCAAGTTTGGTCCTGTATCTTACATACTCTTGAGTGGTTTCTGGGTGTTTTTGCGTTCATGCGGTTTGATATGACTGTAAATAGAGCGGTGATTATGCTTGCCTGATCTTCATTTGGCTTCGTTCCTAACCTGAGTTAAAGTTACGTCTCTCGAAATCTATATAAATGACTCAAGAGGACATTGTGCTGTCCCTGCAATCAACACTTGCTTTCAGTTTTCTCTTACCTCTTGTTAGCAACTGTAACCACACGTCCATATCACTAACATTGTGGTCGTTGCTGGGGTACTCTTGTTATTGGTTTTATGCCTTGCAATCATGTACACTTATGGATTTGCTGCAGCTGAAGCCTCTTTTGCGTTTACATGCAATCTTCTATAGATAATATCTTTCAGTTTTCATTTGCTGAAAATATACTATAAAGGCTAACTTGAGAAAGATGTTAAACGGGAAATACCCCTTGTGGTTTTTGTTTGCTGCAGTGGCTGGATTGATCCCTTCAATAATTTATCGGATTTTGATGTGGTAAGGGTGTATACTCGACATGGATGTCTCGTGTTCATGGATTGTGTTATATTTGACTTTTTTTGTAGAGAACACTTCCGAGTGAATATTTTCACAGTTTTCACCTGAGTTTGTGTTATTGTTCAATGATGGCAGAAACTCACTGAGAGAAGCAAGATTAGGAAGAAAGCTCTACAGAAAGGAGTTGAAGAGGTGATAAAGTCACCCATAGCCTATCCTTTTTTGCACCGTGTATGCATACATTGCTCAAGCCATTTATGAAGATCCATATGTGGCATGTTCTATGTTGGTTTTTAACTCAACTGTAGTATATAAGAAATTATTCCTCATATTTCACTTTCATCTCCTGTAGGCCCTGATTTGGAGGAGTTCTGGAGCACTTCCTGAAAAATGGGAGCAGACCTCTAAAAGTATAAAACAAAAGCGGAAAGAGAACACTCATAGCAATGGTGTGTTTGCTGCCCAAGCATCAGGATATGAGTTCATCGTTTTTACTCGAATTGAATGTAGTAGGGTTACTTGCTAGTCTCGTTGTCAAACGCTTGAGGCTGTTCAAAGGGCCGCATTACTGCAACAAAAGATTTTGCTTCTCGAGGCTTAATATGATTTGGACAAAACAATTGGTGTTCAGGTGTAGTATCATCAACAGTGGAAGTCAAGGAGTCAAGAACGGATGCTGAAACCAAAGAAAGACGAGCACCCAGAAAAAGAAAACCCAAAGTTTTGTTCGAGGTTTGCATTAATCATCAAACTAGTGGGATGGGGCAGAAGTTACATCTATTACAGGCATGCTCCTGGTTGATGAAACATGTTGCCTCTATCCACCTTTTTCAAAATGTGCGATTTCATAGGATGCTTGCAGTTGTTTTGTTGGTCGTTGCATCTGGCATTACGAAATATACAGTGCTCGTCTTTTTGGTTATTTTTGTTTCTGAATCTGTGTCGGTGAATTGTGTGAGCAGCGTGACAGTACTTTGTGTTGGTAGGTGGACATACTGGTCAGATGCCGCTATTTAGGTAGTTTCTGATTTTGAGGTTGTTTGGGTGTCCAGGAGGAGGGTAGAATTCAGCGTAAGCCACAAAGAATGCAGAGACGCTTGCGTATTATGCGTCAACTCGGGCTTGCAGCTCCAGCCGGTTCACCGTTCACTGCAGATTTCTTAAGGACTTAGGATGTAGGCTAGGTACCAGTAGATTTTCACATGTTTTAGCTTTTATCATTTAGGTTTACCACCAGCTCATGAATTGTTGTCACAGAGTTCATTTCACAACGGCATATGTGTTTGATCAGTCCAATCCAGTCAGTGACCTTGTCGAACTAAGGGCTTGTTGAAACTCAACCCATCTAACCCTTCATTTCTAGAGATGAACATCGAGTTTGGAAGGTGGCGAGTTTGCATGATTATGTCTCTCATCCATTACAATCATTGTCCTGAGTAGACCTTTGCTCACAGGCTTTTGTAAGCTAAGCAAGATTGTCCTCTCTTTGGAAATGACTTATCAATTACACCCTTATCATAAATTTTGATTTGCCAAGCCAAGCCAATTTTTAGCTTCTCAGATCCTCTTTCCTCAGTACATTACCCCCACCTTGAATCCATGGCACATGGTACTGAGATCACTGTGTACTTACTGAAACTGAAGATGGATAATTTTTTTCACCTCTAGACTGAACCCTCAAGCAAACTTCTAGAAGCCTGGAATGCCTTAGAACATTTACTTTCTGACTACTACATATAAGGTAGGTTCACATTTTTATTTTTGTTTACTTTTTCTAGTCGAGAAGAAGTACTATTATACCAGATTTAATGTAAAAGTAAACGTCTGAATTACGATTGCCGGTAGTGCATATTGAGCATTTGATACGGTGTACACGACGGTGCTCATTTACTCACTGTCTTTCATCACAGAAGCAAGTGATTTTGCTCAAACTTCATAGGTGTTCTCATGATTCGCTTTTCCTGTCTTATCAATGCATGCCATGGCAGAGACCTGAACATGCATATGTTTCCAGTTAAATTCACAGGCTTCGATGAGTCTTTCCAATGAAATCTTATTTGAATTTTGTCCAACTTGGGCTCTGAATTTTTGGGTAATGGTTTCCTTTTGTATTATATTAATGCGACTCTTGTATCAAACAGTAGGAGATTAGGGGTAGATGGCAAGCTATTAGTAAAGATCTCTCCACTGTAGGTCGAGTGAATGCACTCAAGTCAACTATCTCACCCATAAACTTATAAACATATCATGCTTCCCTTACATTTGTTCACTATACTGTTCATTGGCTAAGGTTCATCATAACACATTTCAAGAAATTTGGCCCACATATATTGGCATATAATCGTGGAAGTCCCATTGAAATGGTCACCTCCGAAGGATCACCTTACAAACATTTTTTATCACAAAATGTATTACATATTAATCGATATTCATCACACTTTTAACTATCATCTATTAGGTTAACGTGATATGAATTCTCTGGAATGAAGTATGAATCCGGGTGCTGCAATGCAAATGCTACTGTGGGAGCTCGCGGTTATTAATCTCCCGTAACATCCTATCAATTTAGGGATCCCTGGAAACTTTCAGTTTCTTGGAATTACCCCGAGTTGATCGAATCTCGATCAATATTCAGCCAAGAGTATGTACGCTCAATTTTTATTCTTAAACTAGACATATGTCAATCAGAAGTCGTGTATGATGAAGTTTTATACTCTTCAAAGATAGCTGACAAGAATTATCTCTTAAAATATCTTACACCAATTGATGACGTACAACCACTCCATTTATCAAGATTTAGGGGTTATCAAATATTTCTGTTTGAATTATATGACGACTCTCAGGCATTTGTAAGTCTTTTGCCTAATTTAATAACCTACTTTAGCATTCAAGCAGATAATAAGTAGAACGAATCAACAGGGTTGATGTGAGAGAGCAAGAGCGGATCATACTCGAGTAGTTCTTTACATACTTTTGTTTCTTGTATTAGTTTTCATTGAAATGTTCCACCATCAACGTGTACAAATTCAAAACTTTTAGATTTTTCTTTTTAAAATTTGTTTCAAAATTGTTCTTCCTCTCCCGATCGTCATTGGATGTATTGCTTATTACAGCTCCATCAATATTGGTTAGCTTCGTCATTTCCATTCCTTGCCATTCCCAGAATTGGGCCTCTTTTAATTTGTCATATTGTAGTTAGCTTGTAACTAATATGTACACTTCCATTCATAAATTGTATTACAATGGTTTCACCTGACTTCATATTCCGAAAGGTATTATTGTGATAGTTTGGATATTATATAGGCTGTTTACAAGATTTTGTTACATGTTGTCTTTTGATTTAATATAGTAGCAACATTCTTCACTATTGTTTTGGTTTACTTTCTCTCCGATAATTTAACTGTATGTTTAAATCATGACAGTTATTGAAAGCTGGAAAAGTAAGTTAGTTCTTCGTCCTGTATATTCCGAGGTTTACACCATATGTACTTTTCCCTCACGAAAGACTTCAATTGAATATTTTATTTTTGTACAACGTGATTGATATTTTTCGAGTATATTGCAATTTTTACATGCAGTGTTCACTTCACAAGAATTTCAATATATTTCATCTTCCTCACAAATTTCTTCATATTCTCTCGGCTTACTAGATATACAAAAAAAACATACAAACGAAGTATTCTACCCATGTCATCCCTCTATCCTTCTCATCTGTAAATTTAAAGTTCATCAAGTGATTAGACAGATTTAATCGTGATAATAATCAGGCACAAACAAATAAAACATTAAGGATGAATTCTAATGGACACGGTATCTTCGCAATTTGTTTGTTTCCTTAAGAAAGTTTACAAAAAAAGAGTTTGGCTGAAATTCAAAGCGCTTTACAAGGGAAAGAGAAGTTGGCCTCTGCACATTGCTTGAGACCAGTCAAGTACTTAAAGTTCCCATTCTGTACTGTAAGGGACTTCCTACCTAACGAAGGTCCTGATATCTCCAACTACTGATAAGAGAACCCCATAATTCAGAAGGATACATCGGTGACATTGAGCCATTTCAGAAGGACCCCGCCTCCTGTATAGGAGGAACTAACTACCTTGAGTACAACACGTAGCCACCCAATGGCAACTACATGTTTCTACGTAGTAATTAACTCCAGCAAACGCACGCACCTGTAGTCCCGTGTGGAGTCCTACTCTACTCAGTGGCACTTCTCAACTTCAAGATTGAAATTTCGAAGTGCTTTAAAAAATTGCAATGACTGTACAGGGATCTAGAATTCCTGGGACATGCTTCCAATGTCACCCTTGCTCTTGCCAGACTTTTTCGGCAACAGAGAGGACTGAATGTTCGGCAGAACTCCTCCACTAGCAATAACCACAGACCCAAGCAGCTTGCTGAGCTCCTCGTCGTTCCGCACGGCAAGCTGGATGTGACGTGGAATGATTCTGGTCTTCTTGTTATCTCTGGCAGCATTTCCAGCCAACTCAAGCACCTGAACAAAAACAAAAGTCAGGATTTGTTCAGGCAGTGAAACCAAGAAAACTGTCTGAGTAACGTCTAGTTTCATCCCCGGGAGACAAGTCCTCTTCCACTCGACTAGAGAGCACGCTGGGTCTTAGACGAGACTGTCCACGCTATGGGGGAACGATCATGTCCAAGTGGGTCCAATAGATAGTTTTCTAATCGATATTTTCGTACCTTTCGGAGAATATACACTACTCCATATTAGACAGAACATCAAAGGGCGGGAGGGGCACGAGAGCTTCTCAGAATCCAAACCGATGAAGGCTTGTAAACACGGTATGAGGGTAATATCACACAAAGCACAAGATGGGGTTCTGTGGACCTAGTTCGGGTAGACATCTACTTCACTTTGTGTGATTAATACTCGCAGAACTAAGAAGGTGGATTTCACATGTGGTTAGAGGTAAGCTTCACCTCAGCGGCCAAGTACTCCATGACGGCGGCCAAGTAAACAGGGGCGCCGGCTCCAACACGCTCTGCATACTTGCCGGCTTTGAGGAACCTCGCAATTCGTCCAACGGGGAACTGCAGACCGGCCTTTTGGGACCGAGAGACGGCCTTCGAGCCCTTGGTCTTTCCACGACCACCGCTGCTGCCTCCTGCGGAGCTCATGTTGGTAGTAGGGCGTACTACACAAACTGTAGTGTGTAGACAATTCTTGCTCGAAGATGAGCGTGAAATGTAGGCGTCAAAGTCTTGCCAACCCTAGGGTATGAACAGTCGAGGAAGGTGTGGGAAAGATCGAGCTCCCTTCCAACAGCAGAAAAAAAGACCTTAATACCTACAATCGACCTCGACCTCTCCACTCGCAATTTCGGAACTGTCGATCAGACGGGGATCGATGGGCAGATTGTTCTAGCACTGCGGAAGCGGCGTTACGGAGGGCGAGACCGACTGGGGGCCGTCGGGCGCAGCGAAGGAAACGATGAAGAGCGAACGTGAGGTGTGGAGATGCAGGATGACCCGGGAATTGAAGCCTTGAGGGATATATACCCCCAAACAGATCTCCTCACAATGACGTGCCGCCAGTGACCTTGACATGTCTGCCATCACACTGATCCGTGTGATAGGTGATTATCTACCGTCGATAGCAAGCACTCGATGAACGAGATTGTCTACTATGTCATTGTATTGTCCACGTCGGATTGCCCAGGATCACCACCTCCTTCCTTTTTTCCCTCCTCTCTAGGAGTTGTGAACAATTACATAGCCTAGGTTGCCACCAAGCGTGACGTGCCCTGCTGTCATTCGTGGGTTTCATGTTGGAAGGAGCCAATTTGAAATGCTTTCATATGCCGGGCTTCCCCACATACTTTTAAATTTTTCGTCCCAATTTCCAAACAGGTCCACTTTGAGGGAAAGCAAGCGTGGAGGGCTTTTTAAAATGCGTTAATGGCGCGACCGATGGACCTGTCATCTTTGGCCACGTGGGTCAGTGGGCAGTTACTTTCAGGTTACTAATCGTATTCCCGCCCATTCGTTTCCTCTCCAATCACAGTAACCTTGTGTTTTATCCATTATGTGACACACATCATTTCAAGTCCGGCTGGGGAAGTAGAACAACGAAACTGAGGAATGCTGAAATTCAATCCAGCTGCCATCATACTCTATTGATCAGAATCAGCAATTTGTCAAGCCCTGATTCTGTTCTGCGTAGCAAGTGTTGGAATTTTTTGATTTAACTGTCAACATATATTACTGCAAAACTAGATGTAAATTCTTGGAAGAAAAGTCAATATGTAAATTATTTGTTTGGATTGTTTTGAATATAATATAAGGAGAGGTAAGTAAATGAGAGTCAATGAAGTTCTTATCCACTCAGTTAATCTTTAAGCTGCAATCTTGTAAAAATCAACATATTCATTTGAAATGGCCTTCTTTATTTCATTATTATTAAGTTCTATTATTTCATTATTAGTATTATTACAAATATAAGCTCTATAGTACAACATCATTTTTTAAAAACATATTGATTTCTTAAAGAATCAGCATTCTTGTTTCTGTCATGAATATAAGTATATTTCACTCATCCCATTCTTTCATTTTTCACGAATTAAGCCAAAGTGATTTACTATATGCCACATTCATACACATCTCGGAAATATTATTTAAAACAGATAGATGAAATAAAAATTTTTAGTTTAAAATCGCTTTTGTACCACTTGTTTATATTAATCAGTGTTGTATAAAATCTAAGAAATACAAATTTTCAAATGAGTTTATTTTATTCCTTTTGTGATTTATTTCCTAATTTTTGAAAATCATATCATCATTTTGACCTTTCACAGTAAATTAATGTATATGACACCTCTCTTTCTCGCTTCAAATTATAAAATAAATAAACATACAATTCTCAAAGCTAAACCTATTTTTAAGACACAAACTTTATGAATTCTTAATTCACAAACATATTTATTTTTAAGTATGTGGAAAAGTATGTGTGGACAAAAAATTATTTACATTATTATTATGTATATAGTATTTGGAAAAAATACAATTCTTCATATATGTCAAATAGAATAATGCGAATCTCAAACATGTGATCATTCCTTTTAGGATCTAATTCAATGATTTAATTCAAAACACTAGTCATTTTAGAAACTAAACAAAATTTTAAAATTTGATCAATTCATCTCTACATCCTACTGTTACTCAATAAAAAGTATTCAATGTTGTATTTTGGTTGTCAAGCGTACAATGTATATTATAAAGTGATTTTTAAAACATATCATTGATATAAAATTGTAATTCTTACAATGGAGTAGAACCATATTGAAAATTGAAGAATACATATATTTTATGACATGTTTATTTTTTCAAAGTACAGAAAATCATCAAATGAATAGTGTATAATGTGTTTACTTTTTATTTCTTAAAGTCATGCCAATTCTATGAAATAAATATAAAGTAAAATACTTTAGTTAGCAGGAAATAGTTTGTTTGAGAATATATCCTTATTGTTTACCCAACAAAATACATAATAACAAGAAATATTACTATTTCTTTCAAAGTCCTACAATTTATTAGTGAGGAGGTATATTTTAACATAAACAGATAAAGAATTGATATAGTATACACACATCAATCATTTTATTTATATCTTTTACATAAAAATTCTTTCAACAATTGTTTGTATCGATATCTTGAAGACACTATTTTATAACAAAATTGTAAAATTAAATTAAATTATAAAGTCATTCAAATTATATCATGATTGAACTAGACACACTTATAATCTATAGATATTTTCCAATATATTGATGTCATTTCAATAAAATCATTAAATATGAACAACGTTTTTTTTTCAACTTAATGATATTATAATACATTTTTTGATGAGAATGAAAAAAATACAAACAATAAACAATTGTATTAAAATAATGATGTAAAAATAAAAAATTATTTAAAAGACTTATTTTAATCATTTAGAAGTTCAAATTGCATAAGCAATTATGACTTTTCTTGTGAAAATTTGAATAATATTTAACAAAACTCTATTTCACATTATGTATATAATTATAACAAGGATCATGTAATTCACTCAAATACATCACTTGTGTTCATAGACAAAGAAACAAGTAAGACATATAAGAATGCAATATACATGTATATACAACAGTCAACAACTTGTATATTAAATGAGATTACAACATAATATATTTTTTCCCAACAAATTTAGAATAAATGTAATAAATATGAAATGAAAACACCACATTCTTGATTTCAAAAGATTTAAATTAAACACATAATAATTATTATAAATATTGACATCTAAAAAGACATTCAACATTAAATTCAGGACTTTTTATTTGTAATATTCATTATAAAAATTAACATAGGTTTATACAAAAATAAAAAATTTAAAGTAGAATAGTGAAAGAAAATTTTTCTTGTGTGAAATTTTTTAAAAAAAAATATAAATATTTTTAATTAAATACCTTATGCAATCATTATAAAAAATTTACATGTACTTCATTTGAAATTACTAAAATGCCTGTTTGTAAATACATGACAAAAATCACATGTAAAACTATGTTTTGAATGTAATTCAATGTTTGTTTACTATGTTGACATTATTTATATGTACTAAATGATTTTTATTTTAAAGTAAAAAAAGTCATTTGTGGGGTATAATCAGAATAAGTAACTATGTTGAATATCAAAATTCATACTGAAGTCATGGATTATTTGTGTACCAGTTTTTCTCCAAGCACATTTGGAAAAAAAATAAGAATGAATAGTAACCAACATAAAGACAACATTCCTTTATACTTTAATCCAAAATGACAATGATAAAACATGTTTAGTTAATGTTGAATTTCATGAGTTGCAATGATTCAATTTTTGGATAGATCGCCAATGTAGAAACACACTCAAATGTTGAATATATCTACAGCAATTTTAAAATAAATTATTAATTACTGGGTTAAGCTTTCAAACTCGATGAAGCTACGAAAAATGTATTTGATTTACAAATTCAAAATACCAAAATATGTATAAATATGAAAAAATGTATACTTGAGTTTAATATGTAGCTTTAACGCCAGAATTAACTTCAAGTTGATATATTTATTTACATATTTTTGTAGAAATTATTGATTAAAAAATATCTATCAATTGGAGTGGTGGATAAAAAAAGCATGCAATTTTTTAAATTTATATGATTTTTTATATTTGTTATAATATTAATTTTTTCATATTTATCATGATAAAGATAACAAGACACAATTATTTATTCTAGATATAACCATAGTTGATTTTCATATTTGAAAGCTTTGTATCATTGAATTTAATATACCTGTGAATAAAAATTATATTGCCGATATATATTCAATTAAAAATGATAATTTTACTAATATTGATCAATATATTTTAATGAGAACAAATATTGTTAGCAATATTTTATATTTATAAATTATTTTTCTTATAGAATTGATATAATTTATTCTCATTTAGTTGGTTCACTTGTTTTTCCATTAATGGTGATATTGTCTATACAAAAATAAGTTTCACATAAAATTTCAACACCAAGTACTCATCATATTTCAATATCAAGTATCAAGGACAATAAATTCGATGCTTTCAAACGAAATCTTAGAGCAATGTGAAATTGACAACCATTAGAGTTTTCATGTAAAATAGATTGCAAAAAAATAAGTTCATGAAAGATTTAGTCAAAGATAAGGTTGTTATAGCAGTTGATCATAGAGCTCACTAATTTTAAAGAGCTTTTGAATTATTATTTTTTATGTACGTATCACATAGTATGTGTCAAGTAAAGGTGCATCCAATAAAAAATGAATATATTTATGAGTGGATTTGAATGAAGTAAATTATTTTATAAGTTTAAATGATAAAATAAACAACCGATCTATGTTAAAACAAACCTTGCCCTATTAGTAATTACATCTCAACATTTATATTAGTTATATTAATGATAAGCTTTGGACTACATTTTTAACAATAATGTTGTGTTTAAATTATTGAAAGAATTTAGAGAAAAATAAAGTTATGTCATGTGACGGAATACAAAGCAAATATTTTGACTAATCTTAAGCAATTTTTGAAATGGTTAACAAAATATAAATTCAAATAAAAAAATCCCAATTAAATGTAAATTCAAAGTAGATTCAAGCTATGATAAACTATACATTGTATATTTCAATGAACAATTTAAAATTTTTGAAATAAAAGTATAACAATCATTGATGACATAGATGGTGATAGCATGATACTAAGTTTAGATATTGAAATTAGTGATTATTGTAAGCAATAAAAAATATAGATAAGAGGCAAATAAACAAAATTTGATTTGCATGAACATATTAAGGTAAACATTTTTCCTGAAGAAAAAATTTATGAATTTGAAATCAAGTATATGAATAAAAATACACATGAATTAAAGTTTTATAAAAAGTTACTCTACAAGTTGTGTGAAGAGAAGATGAGAT